AACCTGCCACTTCATCTCCATTTTTAAAACAAATCATTATTGTTGAGAGCAAAACAGTGTCATAGAGGCAACTAAAAAAGATCAAGCTAATGTGGGCCACATTAGTAACAAATTCTTGAAGTTAAAGGGAAAATTTCAATGTTTTTTTTGTTGCAGGTGAAAGTTTGGTTTCAAAACCGTCGGACCAAGCACAAGCGAATGCAGCAGGAAGAAGAGGCCAAAACTGGACAAGGTGGCAACAAATCGAACGGCTCAGATTCGCAAACCAATTCACATCACATGAACAAATGGAAACAAGAGGCTCCGGATGAGTACGGGGAGTATATAGACATGGACATGGAGGACGATTGTGTTAGTGATGTGGAAAGTGAATCGTAGAAAACGCTTTATTTTTGCGTCGTTTTATCGTTATGAAGAAACGGTGGGTTTTTGATGTGAACATCGATGCGCTCAGGTCCAAGAGATTTTAAAGTCCTGCAATGCGCCAGATTGAATCGCGAAAGGAAACAAGAAAAAAATGTTCGCTCATTAATTACTAGACGAGTATGTTTGGCAATTGCCTTCTTAAGATGGATGTTTCATCCCCAGCAGTTAATCAGCCTCAAATTCGAAATGTTCGCCCCCTTGAGCGTTAACAAATCCGGCAACGCTGCCAGTTAAAGTTTATTTTACCCCAAGGACCACTCCATTTGCTGAGCGTTTATAGCCGAGTCTGTCAGCTTTATCGATCCGAAGAATTATTTCTCCAGAACTTTTTGCCACTTTTTGGCCTCTTAGCAGTTTCTCCAGAGAAACGGGCAAGCCGATTTATAAAGTAATGTGTTTTGGCCGCAGAGCTTGTTATCAGTCCATGGCCGATAAATTCTCATTGAGTTTTTATGCTCTTGCCAATTATTCGACAATGGAAAATATGAAAAGGATTCAATAGAATTCAAGGACTTAGTTTGGTTTGGGTTCAGCCAAATGTTGGGGTTTCCATGGACTCTGAGCGCATCAAAACCCATCCACTAACTACATTGGTCAGTTTTCTGTAGTGCCAAGAAGTACGCCAAACCATGTCTCGTATCTATTTCCCTGTGCCAATTTTTGCATGTCCACACTAAACGTGTAAAGATGATTTTGTATATTTATTTTTACTATTAAAGATTATTTATTTGTATATACAACGTGTATAAAATCAGTGAACGACTTGAACTAATGAAAGCCTGAGGCACTGGGGAGGTGAGCAATTTACCAAACTCTGCCAGAGTTTTTCGAATTTGACATCTCCTTGATGCTTCAATCAGTCGCTTTAGAGTTTACAAATATAGGAACTAGATAGAATTAGCGAAGCTTAATTATTTTTTCTGTGATGATTGTAAATATATATATATTTTTTTGTTATTCCTTGGTATGTGTGTGAACATATCTACTGTATTATATGTATAGATGTGATTGTGAATTCGATAAAATCCTGTCCAAATTCCGAACCATTTTGCGCAAGATATTAACTAGATGGACAGAGATGGTGGTTTGATATGTTCAGTTCTTCAAACACCAAAGTTCCGTTTATTTATTAAGCACCTATTTGGGACAATTATTCAATGTTGGAGTGTTCCAGAACTTCCAGTTTAAATTGATTAAACAGTTTACAATTTCAATTAACAGAAGGGAAATGAGGATGTGTCGAAGCCAGTTTTATGGTGTTCTTTATTTTGCAGACATAAGCAAACTACCTATTATAAATAAAAGTAGTGTTAACGTTTGTAAAGAGTACAAAAATACAAAGTGATTTTTAGTAAAGTGTTGTTTTATTGGTAAATTATTGCCTGGTTGGGCGAAACAAAGCCAATTTCGAAGCCATTGAATCGTAAATGGGTAAAAGAACGAGCAATATCGATCAGATTACCCAGCGACACCTTAAGGATCCGGGCGGGGCATAAATTAAAGCGATTGGGACACCTTTTATTCGAAACCTAATCTCGAGCTTGTTAAATCGCTTGTTGCCTGTTAGTTATCCATCCATTCGATGCTTGACAAGTGTATTGTACTTGAACCGTGTGAACAAATAAACATCGACGTGCTTGGTCTGTTAATAATGCCCGGTTACTTCGAGGCAATAGCACGAGTTACAGATTAATCTGTTGAAAACTTGCGAAAAATCCACGAAAATTGTCTGAAAACTATCAGAACTTGAAGAAATATACAGAAAGAATGAAGACTAAAAACAAACTGAAATGGGATTGAGAAAACTACTCTGCAAAAAATCGTTTGTGTCTACCAGAGTGAAAATGGAATTTGAACAGCGTGCAAAGGCTCTTGACATTAGCTTACTTGTGTGGACAAAAAAATCTAGAAAAAACCATCACCAATATAAAACAAATACAAAAAATTGGCGAGTTTGTCGCACTTTCAGGCCACAGTGGAAAATAATTGTTGATGCGTTTAAATATCAAAAAAACCATAAATCCGAGTAGGATTGGTTGAAGTGGAAGTGAATATCGCAGTTTAACGCCGATAAAACCATGTCAAACGCTGATAAAAACTAGTGCTAGGTGAGAAGCTGATAGGTGGGAATGAATCGATTGATCAACTTTGAATGGTGTCGCTTATACGCGTGAACCAATCGTGTTAAAGGGGGAAAGTAACTGCGTTGAGTCCGATAAAAATTGAAATCTTTTAAAACGATTACAGGCAGTTAAATCAGCCACGGGAGAATTAGTGGGGTAATTTATAAAGCAGGTAGAGATAAGTCGGACTCAGCCCATTCTAGAGGTGTGTCTTGCCAGAGTAATTTGTTGGCGGTTCTGAAACGTTTGCTTAACCCAAGATTAAAACTAACTGATAATTACATAATAACTACGTTCGGAGAGCCTGCAACTGTTAGGGCAACATTAATAATCGGCCGTTTAGTAATTTATTTGTTTAATTACTGATCCATAACGATGGAGAACCGTATCGGCGATAATAAATTAGGGGCGCACTTCGACAGGCGACGATGTCAATTAACAATATTTCAATGTGGAGCAGGGAAGGATTTTTGCCGTTCTCGCATTCAATCAGCAGATAATTAACCTTTACAAACACACATCGTGTGTTTGAGCTTCAAATGAAGAGCAAATGCACTGGCGGAATGAAGATTCGTTGCGCTTCTTGGATGGAGCTCAGGAAGAAACCTTTGAAGAATGTTTACTTGCGAAAACCCCGCGGGTGTTGCTTGCGCTCCTCATTTATTGTTTAAAGGGCGCAAAGAAAATTCAAAATTTTACTGAAAGTTTCAAAAACTGCCCTCAAACTCCAGTGCGATTTCGCCTAACTTCGGTTCTCCAAGCTCAAAAGATCTGTTTGAAGCCCCCACTATTGATGGCCAAATTTGCTGTTGCTAATTCAGCCCTTTTCAAGCCTCAGAGGAAAGTTTATTATTGCCCAAAATTTTGAGTCGGAAACAGTCTGAAAAAAGTTTCGTTTGTGCAAAACTTCTTATTTTGTACTCTTTGCTTTCACATATTTTTTCAATTCCAATTGGAAGCTTTATGGGGATAAAACATTGTATTATCATATAGAAACAAATGGGAACAAGTCGGTGTTTGCCGAAAATCAGAAATGGCTTTTGCTTATACAAATGGGCGAGAATTCCTGTCGCGTATTATTGGAAAAACCGGCGTGAAAAATGGATAGCAATTTCGGCTCATGCATAAATCGCAATAGACCTAAGACATAAAACTCACAAGGCTTTGTTTGGACACATCGTTTTCGATAAAATTGATCGGAAGGGCGACAAAAATAAGGTTTAAAATTGTAGATTTATTTTAAAGGCGCAAACTGAGCCCGAGGGCGCCGTTTCACTGATAGAAAATCGGAGTTTTTTTTTTCAGAAAAAACCCGGTTGGCTCTATTGAAAATAATTGTCGCCGTTGTGTTTTCTGTTATTTCGAAAATACTGGGATGGCTCCCGGGCCGATCGTTTCGGGAATGCTTTCAATTTATACCCTTCGATTTTGCGCCAGTATTGTTTTGGGAGAGATAAAACAAGATTTGTTGTTCGCCGATGCTTTTTATGTAAAATTTTACTAGTTTCGCTTTTCTTAGCGTGAAATATGATACGGCGACCCTTTTTTCCCGCATTACCGCTAGGT